CAAATATTCGTTACGGTCCATCTCAGGCAAGACCTACTTAATGCAGAATAAAATAATGCCACGGTCCTGCGAAGTGTGTGCGGTTAAGGCACTGTAAAATACCTAAAACCTCAAAGCAATAAAAGCACTATATTTTTGATCGTATTATACCTATCATGATTTAGAAGGTTAAAATTATAGTTAGTTCTTAAAACTTAGAGTCTCCTTTTGCGTGAGTTTGAGAGTTTCCTGTGTGAAAATATACTCGCCCTGTAATTCAAGCAGGCTGGAGAGCATCATGAAGACACCGTGGAAGACTCCTTCCTGCAAATGGTAGATCTTATTGCTCCTGGGTCTGTTATAATCATGAATAATCCGCTACCACTCAAAAAATCCGAAAAAATACCAACGTCTTCTTGAAAAAAAAAATTACGCTTACTTTAAATAAGAATCAACTTCAACAGAAAAGGAGCTGTAAATTTGAGTACATTTCTTTGGTCTAAGTTTCCTAGTGATGAAATCTTAGAATAATTAATATCAATTGTCTGTCATTATCTATAATTATACCTAAGTAACTACCTGTAGTAACGCCGCTGTCACATTACTTTAATTTACCAAATCGTGTTTTTTACTATGGCGTGCAAATTTAGGAAGAATTTGTAGTCGAAAAATTAAAATTCGGATAACTGTCACTGCAATTTATCCGATGTTTACGATATAACCCTTAAGTTTTCCATCTTGTTTAATGATCCCTGTCATTACAAATTTATATTTTATTACAGGACGCAAAATTGACGACATTCATAAAGCTTAACACGGTAAATATTTAACAAGTCTGGTTTTCCGAGATCGCAATAGAACTTTCGAAAATAATCTTTTCTCAAAAAAACTTTTCAAAAAAAAACGGAAGGGTCCGTAAGAAGCATATCAAGCCATGGGTTTTCTATTCATCAAATGATTTGTACCATATTAAACAATATTCTACCCAAATAAAATTGATTTAAATTATAAATATTTTGAAAAAATCTCAACTCCCCTCAACCTATAATAATCTATTTTATTATCCTACAGCGTAACACGTTTGGGGTTGGGGTTTTTCATGGTAGTGAAATGAGGTTTCAATAACACTTGAAAAGCAAAATTTATGTTGAAATATGTGAGCCCATTATTTCCTCTTACCAAATTATATATAATATAACGCAAGTAAACTAAAATTATAAATTCAATAACGTGGTTATATGACCATCGCTAATACTTTCAGTCCATTCAGCATAATAAAGGGACTTTTTATTTATTTCTATGTTTATGTATTTTCATATATATTAACAATATTTTAATTTCTATGAGATCGGCAATGTTTGGATTAGTGTTTTTAAAATTTGCATCTTAGTTTCCATATATCATTTCATCTCATATCACAAAAAGAAATGGTCGCTGCTCTTAATACAGTGGAGGAATACTTGTATTTTAGAAACACGAATCAATTTCAAAGTAATCAGCTACATAGTTGTATACGCAATTTTAATTTTGCTCACGTTGATTATTTCCGTTAGCGTTCTCTATTCGCCGTTATAAAAATCGATTAGCAAACACAAATAAAATGGCTTCTGACTCAGAGTATTCGCTAATCAATGACTCACGTCAATGTGACTTACGCTTGTTATGGCCAGTCCATTAAAAAGCAGCAACTACCCCGAAAAGTCGTAATTCGATTAATTTTTTTGTTCGGACGGAGCTCCCTTCTCACGCGGGAAACCAAAATAACGAGTAAGATTAACCCTTTTTTTATCTATACAGGCGCCCCGGCTTAATCCCTGTTTAATTCCCCACGGGAGGATAAATAGTGCGGGATCCGTAAAAATGCCATATTTTGTCGTTATCAAGGTCATTATCAGAATTACAACTCCTGAATGCCCGCAGCTTGCTGCACTGTTCGTCAGGTTTCCCGATTATACCGGGAGAAAAGTTCGAGTTGGATATCGACGGACTCCAAAAGCTTTCCCGTCTATAATGTTAACCATTACGAGTCCAACTTTGGATTTGTATTCTTTTATAATTTGAAATGACCTCCTGGTTGCTTTTAGATATGTCGATAAATATCCTTTTAATTTCTCAAAGAAACTTCTACATGCTACTTTAATACAATTTACAAAACTTCTGGATTCCTCGAGCATCGGTTGTTGAATTTTACTTGCTTCTTTGGAGCTTCGAGCCTAAATTAAATCATTTGCTAGCATCTCGCGCCATTATTGATTGATAAGCATTATTTTCCAATTTTTGGATGAAATGTATATTTTCTGAAAAGTAATAATAATAATAATGATAATAATAATAATAAACTGTCTTTATTGAAAATCAAAATGTTACAATATTTTATTGTGGGGAGGGACATTATTGCAATAAGGTATTTCATTAAATAATTTAACTGCGTTATAGCTAAAAGATCTCTGGGAAGTTACCGAAGTGTGTCTGGGAACGCAATATCTTAAAAAATTACGGGTGTCTCGATTATAAATATCATTTCCTCTGCAAAGTTTATCAAACAAGTACGAAGGTTAGTAAAGAAACAAAAGTTGCTAACTGAACTTTATATCGATCCTCCAGCTTGAGCCAAACCTTTCTCAGATTGCAACTGAAACAAATACAAGCATTCTGTAGTTGTTGGAGTCTCTCCTTATCTCGATTAAGTATAGCTGGCTAATAGACGATACCGCAATAAGTGACACGGGATAACATTAACATATCACGAAGTTTAAGTTTGACTTCTCTACTGAGAAAATGTTGATGAATATACAATATCCTCAACTTACAGAAGGATTTTTGTAACACCAAGCCACATGCTTAGAAAACAGCAAGTCAAGGAGAGATAATCTCATCATTTAGTGTAAACTTAAAAGAGTCGTTTTCTACAATATCTTCACTTTTGTTTCCAAATAATAACATCTGTGTTTTGTTAAATTTCAGTAAGAGGTTGTGAGCCGCAGATACCTCCGTAATGATGTTTGAGATCTAATTTTATTTTAGTAGTGGCATTTAAAGTTGCACTAGCAACACAAGATAAATATGACTCAGTATCGTCGGCGTATTGATGAGATTTACAAAATTTAAGAACAGTAGAGGAGTCAGTTGTATAAGCTGAGAACAGAATAGCTCCCAGAATACTCCCCTGGGAAACACCCCTGTCCAAAGCAATGCCACCTGAATGTAATTTTTTTTAAAAAAGAAAGAGCAGTACCTTCTATCACGAAGAATTCCAGTTTAGCTAGGAGAAGGAAATGATCCAAGTATAGCAAAGCGTTCGATTTGCTATACTCCAAGAGTAGGAGACAAGATTTTAATTTAGAATCCGCTGCTTTCAATAAATCATCAGTAACATGAAGCAATGCAGAAGTAGTGCTGTGAAGAGGTCGACAACCAGATAAACGTTTTACCTTTTTTTTTTGCACATTTCACTTCATCATGGTGCATTTTCTCCCTTATTTTACTTAATTAATTTTGCCGATTCTCAAAAAACAAATTAAAATTTTTTACTGTACGCACAATATTCATTCAAATTCAAAATGAAAATCATGTAAAACAGTAGCTAATTGGTAGCAGGTTTAGAAGGCCTGAATTTTTATTTTACAATAATAAAATAAATACACCTGCGAAACATTGGTTGTCAGTTTAATTCAGTGCATAATACACTACGCAGAAGGCATGTACCAAAACATAGGAAAACGATGCAAATATTAGTGTACAACCTGGTCGAAATATAGGAGTAGAGGAGAAAGAGTAGATAACGAGACATTTCGTTGAGAAAAAATCGCAATATGTCTAAACATTTTTAAAATTTAATAACATAAAAAATATTGTATAAAACAAATACAAAATTTTACGTGAAAAATACCATTAAACAAATTGGGTTATGGACATGGAATGGAAATTTTTTGTTAAATTTTTATCTAGATTTAGATCTAAGATATTAAATATTTTTTTAATTTCTTTGGCTCTGCGTCTCTAGTTTTAGCAGGAAGTGTATTTTTTCCCGGAATAAAAAAGGTGATTTTTTATAGCATTAGTTATTAATTTTTTTTAACTGAAACTTATTTCGAAGCAGAACGGGAGGATTTCGGGGGGGGGGGGGGTGATTGATTACCGTACAACTATTAAGTCTAACGTACGACGCATCAAGCAAGGCATCATCGCAAAAACGATTTCAGAATCTTGGATTTTGGTTGGTTTTTGTTTTTCAGAAAATTTGACCATCTAGTGGCCATCTGGCATCTTTGAAAATGATTTAAAGCGCTTGCTCTTGTATGATTTAATAAATTTTCTTGTCCTCACAATTTTAATACAACGGCTGTTCTTAAAAATTAAACCCATTTGCAATGCTTTCCTTAAAACGCGAATCAAAGAACTCAGACTTGATAACATTAACAAATTTTATTATAATTATATTCGGGCTCAACTAAATATGTGTTCCATAGGTTTAAGTTACTTTCGGTTGTTTTTCAAAAAACACTTTCAGTTATAATTAATAAATAATGCGATATGTTTCAATTCCGAAAATTCCTAATATTCATTAGCAAACAAATTAAATCAAAATTACAACCAAAATTACAAACCAACAAAGTAACGACAAGACTTGATCAAAAAAAAACATCAAAAAACATCATTTAAAGTTTATTATTATCTATTATCTATTTATCTATCACAGAAAACATCGGCATGTCAATTATTCTTCGTAATACTACAAGATATACAATCATCCTGATCATATCATAGCTGATCGGGAAGATTCCTCAGTTTTGACCGGTTCCAATAATTATACTATCCATAATTTTTTTTCCTTTTTGGTTCCACATTAAGAGCAACGTATTCCTGTTTTCTCAATTTTCAATCCGAAGTTTCAATATGGCTGGAGTTGATTGTTTAAATGTATTATTCAATTTTTGTTAATATCCTACTAATACTTATTGAGCTTATACCATCGTTAATTGAATGCCCCGTATAGGAATGGGTAATTCCAGTTTCCAAAAAGATTACATTAATTAGCATTGAATTAGTTGATAAGAAAACAAACCTTTAAAGTATGAAAATAAGCACCTATATACCGTGCTCGGGCGGATCGGGAAAACCCTTTCAAATATAAGAACGATAAAGGTTCGATAAAGCTGCCAAATTCGAAACGTCACTGGTACAATTTCTCCTCCTCACCACGCAAACGCGATAAAGAGTTCAAAGATTACGCAAATTGTTGTTTCGAACGAAGGCAGCAACATACCGAAAGATGCGATACGATTTAGCGCGTACTATGCTAGCGGGAAAATTCGTTTTCGGCGTGGCGGCAATGTGTGTGTTCGTTTTCGCTTTTGGTGACGACGAAACGACAGAAGTTTTCGAGGATGACGTCAGAAGCGGACTTTTTGCAGACGCCGTGGACCTCGACACGACCGAGTTCGACCCCCGTGGCCTAAACGCCACCAATGAGACGCTCAGTGAGATTAATACGTCACTAATATTTTTAAGACAACGCCTATCGGTTTGTGTCAAAATAGAGAATCGCATTGATTGGCTAGTGGTATTCCCCAAGAGTCCATTTCGGGACCAAGATTGTGTTCGATGTTTATAAACTTTAATTTTTTATTCCGTTTGATGGCATTTATTCGCTGTAGCGTTCAGTGGTAGCCCAGAACATTTTACCACTAGAGGTCAAAAAAATTTGGTACTTAATTTGGCCCCGTATGGTATCCGGCAAGAAAATTCTATATAGGAATTTTTGAACCAATCAAAATCGATTTTGTGGACAGATTTCCATAGCAATGCAGGTTTCTAGAAAAACCTCCAGTATAATTCGCGACTAAAAAATTTCCAGTTAAATTAATCCGTTGCCATGGTGCCATGTGGATTTTTCAAAATAACACAAACGCAGGTCTTTAAGACTAGATGCTAAAACAGTTGTCTTCTTATAGACTTTATCGTAAAATTGTAAAACATACAGGGCGTTAACGACGTACTTGTACAAAGTTTAAAATGTGACTCTTTAACTAATAAAAAAAAAGCTTATATGAATGGCTTGCCAGTTTTGGACGAAAACGGGTTTGAAGTTATTGAAATTTTTTAAGTTAGATCATTTCCGAGCCACATCAGTGAAAATAATCCAACGGATTGAAATCTGGTGATTTGTAATGCCAGGCTTGTGATCCAGCTCTTAATATCCAACGGTTAATCTAATTTTCGACTAGATTAAGCTCGAGCTTCAAAATCTTCTGATTAAGCCTTTGAGGAAGAATGCAGGGTCCAATAATTCTGATAATTCCTACCCGAATATTGAATATTGTACTCGGATCGTCCTCAGCCCAGATATGGTTGTTGTGAAAGTTAATGATATCATTACAAAAAGTTTTATGAGTCATGACTGATTTTGCTATTGTTTTTCAAGGCTTGCTATGAATTCACCTTCCTTTGTGTGCTGTGGCTGCAAAAGAAAAATGCTAATTATTATTTTTATGCATTTTCCACTAATTTGGTGATAGCATATAGTGTGATATTTAACTTAAAACATTCCAACTCAAGTAAAACTAATAAAATTTCGTCAATTTTTTTCTTTTTAAATCAAGTGTCGTGACTGATTCTGCTATTGTTTTTCAAGGCTTGCTATGAATTCACCTTCCCTTGTGTACTGTGGCTGCAAAGGAAAAAAGCAATTTATGAGTTTTATCCATTCTTCACTAATTTTGTGATAGTTATATCTATATAGTGTGACATTTGAGAAGTATTCAACTTAAAACATCCCAACTCAACTGTAACTTCTCGAATTTTGTCTAATTGCTATGGACTTATTGTCTTAAAATTAGTTAAATATTCACTTTTTAAAGTTTGTACAAGTAATTAATGAACACGTTGTATAAAGTAACCTTGATCCACTTTTGTTATGGAATTTAAATGTTGATTAAATAGCGAAAACATTCTACACGGTCATCTTTGATAAAATATCCTTAAAGAGCATTAAGACTAAAGACGATTCTACTCAGTGAAAAATCAAAATTCTATTGTTGAAATTTAAAAAAATTATATAATACTTTTCCCACTTTATTTAAAAAAAAACTGACAAATTACTAGTAATCAAAAACTGGTGATAGTCAAGTTAAATTCTGTTTGCCCAGAAAAAATTAATTTATTATCATATTTTAATTATTACCACTTTATTTACTACAACGTGGTAGGATTTCGCAAAAAAGACAGGATGACGAAAAGACTGTTCTCAATAATTGATTTATATTCTGAGGGCAAATATGTGGAAAATTTTATTTCCTATACATATCACTAAACATAGAAATTTTCGGAACATAAAACAAATCATACTTTCATTTGGAACATACGAAAATTTATGCGTAAAACGTAAAATCACTCTTGTTATAGGTATATTAATTAAAATATTGCGATAGTTTTTAATGCCAGAGCAAAAATTTGTTGTCATAAAAATATTCTCTTCACTTGGATGCGTGAAAACAATGTTGGCTGATTATTTGCTGTCAGAGCCTACTAGACGTTTTCGTCCAGTTAAATTACTGATTAAATAGAAGTAAGGTTACAAAAATTTCCATATAGCTCAGAATAAATTATACATTACTTTTGCAAAAATAGATTTTTCGCGTTTTTCAGATAAACGGCTAAAATAGTTCAGACAAAAACTGTAGACCATCCGATTTCTTTAGCAAAAATTTTTGTATACTTTTTTACGATTTTCGTGATATAGCAGTTCAAAGAGCAATTATTTTATTTGTAATATGCACACGTGTCCACACCGCCTATGAGGTAGCGTGCCTTGTGATCTTTCGTTATCCTATTTAATTCAAATTCTATGAAATACAAATGCATTGAAAATGATGAAAGCTGTGTAGATGATCACAAATAAAAAAAAGGATTTGGAAAAATTATTCCTAGGATTCATAACAAGCAATCGAATGGAACTTCAAGTGCATTTTCTTCGTTTTTTTCTTCTTCTTCCTGCTACATTCAAATATGTATTTTGAAAGTGATGCATCATATGTTTCATCGCTGATATCGTAATTATTCCCATCTAGTATCGATTCAACATTAGAGCACCATTGTCCTTGACAATTGGTACATGGTAAAGAACAAAACAGTCCAACCTTTTTACGTTATTCAAGGCCATGCGACTAAATAAAAATGGAGGCGGAGTTTTTGACGTTCATTTATATTCTAAGAATTTTATACTCTGCATATATAAGACATGCACTTTTGTGTGGGATTTGGGAATATTGCCATGTTTTATAAAAGCAACCACAGTTTCTTTGGATGATGATTGTAAACTTGGCCACCACTAGCAGTTATGGATTAATATACAATTTAGTACAATTAATAGTTGTCTGACTCCTTTTAAAAGCAGAATATTTCCCTCAGAAATTATCGAGCATATTCAATTTTCAATCTGTTTGCGTCATTCGGTTTAGGATTTGCAACCGTGTGCGAAACTCCCAACCACGACCCGGGTTACTGCGTGGAGCTATCTCAGTGCTACGTGCTAGCTAAACAAATCGCCAACAAAAAGGCGGCGGATTTTCTTAAAGCTTCCAGGTGCGGGCCGGAAAACGAAGACCAAACCGACCCTAAAGTGTGCTGCGGGAAGTACAACAACTTCAGAAATGTTAGCACGCACATCGGTATTTATATAATTACTTAATTTGATCACTTTATGCAAAAATCAAGATCACTAACCCACATGTCTTCTTCGATTTTTCTTCATTCGCAATTCAGTTACCCCCACTTGATTTTTGAGGTTCAAGGTTTATAGGTTTGAGAAATTTAATTGAATTTGTTAATCATTCATTTCATTATAGTGTTAAACATTGTGTTACTGAAAACTTATAGTGTAAATTAATTTTAAAATTAAATTTGGCCTACTCTTGCTGCAGTGGAAGACAACAAAATTTTCCCGAAAAAATGCGGGACCCAAAAGACAATGATGAGAGGCCGAATCGTGGGTGGGAAAGAAGCGCAACTTGGAGAATACCCCTGGATGGTGCGATTGATCCACAAGAACGATTACGGATACAAAACCTACGGTTGTTCCGGGTTCTTGGTCCATACCAAGTACGTAGTCACGGCAGCTCACTGTATAAAGTCGAATTTTTCACAAATACGAGGACCGCTGTAAGTATGACGTACTACGTCTTACGTTGTAATTCAACCAGACTGCCATGGATACAGGTTTCAAGTCGCGATCGGAGAACACAATACTGAAACAAAAATCGACTGCTCACCTGGAGGAACTTTCTGCGCGGACCCTGTACAATACAGTCGTATTAGCAAAATCGTTGTTCATCCGAAATACGACAAGGATTCGAAGGATCACCACGATGACATCGCGTTGATACACCTAAAAAAGGCTGCAAGGCTATCAGGTATTATAATTTTTTAAAGAAACTGTAATACTATTTACAAAACTCCTGGATTCCTCCTAATTCAGTCAGAGACAGAGATGTTAAATATACCATTATATATTAAATGTCAAAAATCCCCTTCGATTTGCGCAAAAAAATTCAAGGTCAAACGTACAAAATTAAGCTTTTTTCCATTTTTCTCGAAAACGGTAAATAGATCAGACAAAGGTTATAGATCATACAATTCTCGACAAAAATTGTTCAGGCACTTTTTTTCTCACGAGTCATCATTCGTGAGATATCGCGGTTTCAACTATTAGAAAATTCGTATTTTACATACACTTAAACGCAGCCTATACACGTCATCGGACGTTCAATATAAATAAAAATAAGAAACTATGGATAATTTGGTCATAACAGTACGATTGTATTTGATGGTTGTACTAATCATATGAATAATATTAAAGCTGCAGAACAACGTCTTCGGAGTACAAAACCATCTTCATCTTTTGATGTCATTTTTGATAGATCTATGGAAGTTCCAACAAAGCAATAACAATTTCTCGAAAATACTCAAAATTAGTCTCGCATCATTTCAATGTTATGTGAAGAATTTACAGCAGCTGGCATTTCAATAAAACAAGCTGTAATAGAGCAATGGAATAGTTCAAATAAAACTGTCGTTGCTGGAGAAGATGTTGATTTGTTGATACTACTGACTGCACGGACTCATTATGAAAAAAATATTTACTTTCTGAAACATGGGAAAGCTCAAGTAGAATCAGCATTTTTTAAAAGAGGTAAAACAGCAGTAATTATATTATTCGAATTTGAATTGATTGAGCAGAAATATTTACAAATTTTAAAAATGGAGTTCGTTTTGTTCTTGCAATGCATGGTGCTCCAAAAAAATTGATTGCATAGATCGATCTAGATATTTGAAGTTAAAATCTGTATCGAACAATAAAACAGTACAGTTGTCTTGTCTACCTCCAACATCTGCTTCTGCCTGTCAGCATTTGTGTCGTGTTTATTACCAAGTTCAATTATCGCTAGGCAATGAACAGAACTCAGAAGAATGGGATTGGAAGCCAACAGATAATTATTTGGAGCCAATTCAAACTCTATTGCCGCCAGCTCCAGAAAAACTGCTTACTGGTTGTAGTAAGAATTGTGGCTGTTAAAAAGTGTGATTTATTTTGTTCGCCGGAATGCATTCATTGTCACGGCATGACTTGATTTAATATTGAATCAAGTACAATAGAAGAAATTATTTATGATACTAATAAAGAGCCGATTGATGTATGTTTGATCTTGAATAAAATTTTTTGGTGAAGTCGAAGCAAAGCGGACTTTTGACATTTCATGTGTAATTGTGTATTTAACGTCTCTGCCAATTTTGGCTAAAATAAATTTTTATTTTGACTGGATTATCCTGCGGTTGTTGTTGAATGGAATTTGCTGACGTCTCGTCAATCATCCTGTTGGCCTGTTCTTCAGGAGAATTTTAGAAGTTTTGTAAATATTATGCGACGTCTTTGTGTGATCATATTTTTTTAGAATACGTACAACCCATATGTTTGCTGACCAACAGTAATGAAGAGGTAAAGAAATATTATCTCAGCGGTTGGGGAAAGACTGAAACTAGTAAGTTAAATGTTTATATTCGCCTTTCGAAATGGTTTTTATACGAAATTGAGTTTTCTTTTCTGGAATGAGTGAAACTATCAATCTTTGTTTTAATTAAACAATATTGAAACACAAGAACTTTTAGATAAGATTGGATCGATGAAACCGGAAAAGGAAATTTCAGTTATTGCCAAATTTTGCCCTGGATGTTTGGGTAAATCACACATTATTTGCGTTTTTGTAGAAGACAGCAGTCCAATCAAGCTAAAGGTGGACATAAATCCATTCAGCATGTCCGAATGCAAAGAGAAATTTTCTTTCCTGGATTTGGAGGTCGACGAGACTCAAGTGTGCGCGGGTGGTGAAAAAATGAAAGACAGTTGCAACGGAGATTCCGGAGGGCCACTCATGATGACCCCAAATGGTACATTGTGGTTTCTTAAAGCGTCCAAAATAGAGCAGATAATTGATAAAACAAACTAACCCGAACTGTTCTTTTAAAACTGTCTGTTTGATAAGTTAAACCGAAATCGCTTATATCTTTCTATTATATAACATATTTCTTTTATAGGGACAGTCTATTACGCTGCAGGGTTAGTGAGTTATGGGATTGGCTGTGGACTCCAGGGTTGGCCTGGGGTTTACACTAGCATTCCCAGTTACGTCGATTGGATTAAGACTCAAATTTTAGCAACAAGTATGACCACTAAAAACAGTAAATTGAAGAAGAGGAACAGAAAGAAACACGCGATTAATACCTAGGAAATTGTTAATTCGGTCAATTGAGTATAATTCTGAATGTAATTACATTAATTATTAAGGTGCTATCTTCTTGGTGTTGATTATAGAGCTGGAGCGTTCACAATGCTAAGTACACGTAGTTCTATTCATGTGTATATATACTAATATGTCTTAGATAATATTTAAATAGAGGTCGAAATATTTGTTGTATCATTTGATTCAATAAAAATACATTTAACTGCATATCGGTTTATTCATTTAGGAAAACAAAAATATTTTCTACTATCGGGAATTCAAGACTCATACAAAGTTTGAAACAAGACATTTACCAAAACAATTCTGACCCTTCACCTTTAAAAATTGATATATCTGAATCGCACTTAACTTGAAACACAGTTTTGAAACAACAGCACCGTATTCTATTAATATGATAGATTTTCACTTACGGTACAAACTGGAAGGAGAAAATAAATTATATTAAAAAAAAAAGACAGCTCTGGTCCTTCGTAATGATAAGAAAATATAATAAAGTTTAGTTATTTTTGTTTTAATTTTAAGACCAATGAACTAAAGATGTAAAATTATTTAGTTGTTCTTTAATATGCTTTGGTCCTCCTTATCCTCTTCTTAGCATTTATATAGTTTTTTTACCGAAGAACAATAAATGTATTTATTTAAACAGTTCTAGGCTTAAGAAATATAATATACTTCTCTGCAATTACTATTATTTCCTTCTTCTTCTAATTATTTCTTACATTTGCAATTGCTAATGTCATCGTAAACTATGATGACTAAGTGACTAAGTCACACGCCTTGAACTGGTATCATAAACCAAGTCTTGAAAGTGAGCAACCGTGAAAAGCGAATTTTAATAATCCAAAAATCCCCATGACCGAAACCTTTCTCCCGTAATACGTCCCTGACTAGAACACATACAGTGCGTTCGTCCGTTAATTGCAAATCGAATATTTATATGAATTAGATTAAAAGAAGCAAAACAGCATCAGCATGGAAATACCAGTCTATCGGTATACCCACGACTGTGTACGCTGCGAAATGAAAAATATTTAAAACCTGATCTTGGGCTTATCGAGTAAAAAGGATCTTCGGGGCCTGGTTTTTAGTTTGTTTTAATATGTGGTCGGCGTTCGTTGTGCTGGTAGCTTGTTCTGTGACGGTACGGGAAGTGACCGCACGTAAGTAATTGAATATACATTTATATATTAAGGTTTTGGTCGAAAGCCTGTTATTTTATCGTGTGTACCTAATCATTAAGCAATTTGTTAAAACGTGTATTTATGTGGCTGGTATTTTCTACTGGATATTCCGAAAAACCGATCGTTTGGAGATAGAAATTGCATTTCGCATTTTTATTTCTCCATCGATTGCGTTCACATTGTGCTTCATGTAATTTTAGATTAAATTCCAGACATATATGACAAAGGAAAACAATGTAAGGTGTTAAAGTATAGTTCCCAAAATCTGGAGCTGCAGCTCAAGATGACTTCATTTCGTCAAAAGGTAACCTTCAACCTCGATGTACTGGATGTTTCTTCATAATAAGTAATTTAAATATAAAAGTGGGCAGAAGTAATCTGATTTGGTTAGCGGGAACGAAAGAAAAAAATACGAGCACCTTATTAGTTTTCTAAATATTTTGCATCATAACTTTTCAAATTTCACCATCAAAAAAACACAGTACAATGTGGTAAAGGATGTCGTTATTTATTACAGTGCTGCCATTTCTGCTCCAAGCGAAGAAAATAGCAACACTGTAAATACGAAGTAGAATATCGGCGCAGCTGAATTAGAAAAATAGTTCCTGACGATATGCACCAACATTGCAAGCTTAAGACAAAATTAAAAATATTCTTTCTCACTCTACAAAAGGTTGTGTGAGCCATTTGAATATACACACCTTACATAAGTAATTTTACTTTTCAGCTCCCAGAAGCTTATTCTCATTCATTTCAAATCAGCGTAGTATATATAATTTTGATTTTAGAGAAGAGGCCTTTCTAATATTTCAGCTAAATTTTCAAAGTTTTTACACAAAAATATCGAACAAACAGGAATTTCGTTTCTTTGTTTATACTTATATTTAATAAATGAGTACTATAATTAAGTAAACTATGTAAGTGTTTTAATTTTCTTCATGATTGTAATCTGGTATTGGGTATAAGTCTGTTGATCCTCCCCTCCTATGTGCCTTCTCTCGCGAGGTTGGAGACCAATATGGCAAAGTCTTCCCTCTTGTGGGCTTGACGAAGTAGTGTGTTATCATTGGTGTGTGTCCACTCTCTGATGTTTCTGAGCTACGAGTTTCTCTTTCTGCCTATACTTCTCTTACACTCAATTTTGCCTTCCAGGATTAGCTGCAATTGTTCATACTCTTCATTGAGCATTATGTGTTCAAGCTAGGAATTGTTCCAAATTTTAATGAGACCAGTCAAGAGCGGGCGGGTGTTCACTCTTGATAGAACTTCTTCATTGGTTGTCCTTAAGGTCCAACTGATTCGAAGTATTCTGCTGTACATCGAAAGTACAAATGAGTTAAGTTTTTTAATGTCCACGTTTCGCATGCGTACAGAAGCAAGGGCCATATGTAGTTCTCAGTCAAACTGTGTGGACAGCTTGAGGTGGCATAACAAGTTACGCATGTTCAGGAACCCTGCTCTTTTTTTATGTCTATGTGATAGGTGGACCGAAGCTTGAACTTTGTGATTTCCTATCTTGACCATTTTTCCTGCCCTTTATGATAATATTGTTTTCTTCCAGAGAGTGGGAGGTGGTGTAAAACACCAAATGGTGAAACTGCTCGTTGCGTTTCCATCTACCAATGCTCCCAGTTTCTCCAAATTTTGAAGAACAGAAGTTCGGACCAAGAGAGGTTCCTCCGACAGTCTCAGTGCGGTTACGAAGTGGACCCACTGGTCTGTTGCGGGACGGAAGTTAATTTTAGGAGTCGAGAGCCCAGCGACAACGGTAACCAGGGTAATAACGGCAACAATGGAAATCAACCGATTGACAACAACTTTACTCCCAACAGTCTTATCCCTGATAGGTCCATGTGTGGGTTCCAGGTAGGGATCTTATAGGTAATCCATAAATGGATTAAACCGACCTAGAGCGGTTTTAATTGTGTCAATTGCAGTGCGCGAGAGACAAAGAGCAGATAATATCGTTATAACGATGAATGAATGGGCATTTTCTTCTTCATTTTTTTAAAAATTATTGTGCAAAAAAGGCAATGAGCTAACAGCCACAAGAAGGCTAAACGTTTTAAGACTCTTTTTTTAACTAGAAATTAGAAATATAATATGGAAGTGTGTCCAAGTTCTTCATTAAAAATGGTATATTATGCAACAAGTTCGGTAAATGGCATTTGAGTCAACGAATTTATTCGGCACGAGCGGAGCGCAGCGGAGCGACTGCAATAAACGAGTGACTTAAAAAATTTGCCAAACGTGTTGCATACTACATTTTTTCTGCGACCGTTAAATTTTGGGTACATTTTTACAAAACAACAAAAATACATTCACTGACATGACCGTCAGAACTGATAACCGTAAAATCTCCGAAAATATCCGAAAGGATTTTATTACAACTTCAAAGCATCAAGAACGAGAAACACAAATATCAAATTTTCCGTTCTACGGTACTATCAACTCGATGTTTGTAAACAGCACTCAGATGACGAACTTTCAACATGGTTCCCTAGACGTTTCATAAATTTCCAGGTAGATGGCGCTTGCGTCATATAAATTCAAATTCAAACATTCGTTAGATTTTATAGACCCGAATTCAGTGTTAACTTTTAACATTGATCAAAAAAGTGTCAATTGTTTTTAGTTTGATTATAGAAATAAGAATTTATGAGGTGATTAGTTTAAATCATTTATTGCAACAAAAAAAAATAAATAAATTATAGATAAATTTTAGAAATGGACATAACATGGCCCTGACGGTTCTCTCTGTATGACAAATTATTTTATATAAAAATTTGATGAAATATATTCACGATTCATTCAAAAATTTTATTACTAGATTAGTAATTAATCACCAGTGAGAACAAACAATACAAGACATAAAAAATCACAGTTAAAACAGACTCACTCAGGTAAGGAATAAGTTTTCTTAAAAAATTTACTTTATATTTAGAATTAAAAAAAAAACTATCAGCCCCAACTATAATAGCATAGCTGCACCATTTGGAATTTTGTTTCATTTTGCCAAAATAGAAAACCGGACAATTGAAAATGAATCAAAATAGGGCCTTGACAAATATGTTAAAATATAATAAATTTTTTGTAATACAAGAAATTAACAGGATTTGTTGTTTATGTCAAGAGAATGTTATTCTAGAAAAGTTACTGTATATAACATAAACGATTAAAAGATTTACACGGTGTTATTAATAAATTCTAAATGCTTTTAAGCAGTAATATGTTATTCATCAATTAATCCCCGTATGATAATAGCTGTATAAATGTCAACATTGATCCGGCAATGCGTGGAAGAATCTCTCTTTCTCTCTTTATTTCTCTCTCTTGAAAAATTTGACATTCCACGGTTTTGCAGCTCGCCGATAAGATTTTCGGAGGTGAAAACACGGCCTTGGATGAGTTTCCGTGGATGGCGCTTTTAGAGTACCGAAATTCAGCTGGGGTTAGGAAATTTTCCTGCGGCGGTTCCCTGATTACGCCACGTTATATCCTGACGGCCGCGCATTGCGTCACCGGTAGAATTTTACAAGTTGTTGGACGATTGTGAGTAAAGCTCCATTGTAGGCCTTCCATAAACCCCTTCTTTTATAGAACAACAGCGAGATTGGGAGAATGGGACACAAATACTGGTAGAGACTGCATCAACGGAAACAGGTTCAGCATTTGTAACGAGGAGCCCATAGACGTTGGTGTCGAATCTTCGGTAGCCCATCCCAACTACGTGGATAGCAGTGCTGATCGCTTCCACGACATAGCTTTAGTTAGGTTAAATAGACAGGTGACTTTTACAGGTACTTTCGAATATCTACACCATATACTTGTGCTATAATGGGGGAGCGAATTTTTAGATTTTATACGACCCATTTGCTTGCCCGGCCTCAACGAGGAATCCAGTGTTGGAGAGAAATTGATAGTGTCCGGGTGGGGTAGAACTGAAAGGGGAACCAACAGTTCTGTCAAATTAAAACTCGTAGTTCCTCTGGCAGATAGGGGCCAGTGCGCCGTCACCTTCAGGACTGCTGGGGTTAAGGTTGGGAACGGACAGATTTGCGCTGGGGGTGAAGCGGGAAAAGATTCCTGCACAGGTAAACATTTTACTAAACAAGTTATTTTGTTGTTTCTTTTCAATTCGGCGCCATTTAATATAATTCATAAAGAAACCAAATTTAAGGCAATAATTTTGACAAAATTTTTTCAGGTGACAGTGGTGGTCCACTGATGACGACAACTCGAAACGACAGCTCCCAATGGTACATAGAAGGCTTAGTTTCGTACGGAACTAGATGTGGGACCGGTGGTTGGCCAGGTGTATATACCAGGGTGAACCAATACCTGGGTTGGATTCACAACACCATTAAACCTTAGAAAAAGTTCATGTGATCTTAAATATTATTTATACAAAAATTATTAATATAAGTTTTATAAGAAACATCATTTTTTTAGAGACAAATTTTCTGTAGACTGACCACCGATGAAGATGGTCGAAAAACGCAGTTCTAAGGCAGATAATTTTCTGCTAAGAATTAATTTAACATAATGTTTTCTAGGTAATGTCTTTTATTTTGACTTATGATAATTTAATTTTCAGAGTCTTAAATAGGACGCTAAATTTATTTATTTATTTCAACGGCTTAGCCAATTTACAACAAAAAAAAGGTAGCAATATAATAAACTAAAATAGCAACAAGACAAAACATGAAAAAGCTTTTTTTCAATAACCATCTAACTAACCAAGTTCTTTTAATTTTGTCTTAAATGGTCGAATACCACTAGAAAAGGGATCAAGGCAATAGATTGGTGACACACTCTCATATATTTATTCTAAAAAGTTAAGGGGGAAAAAATAATACTAAAACGCTTTCGAAGATTTAGATCCAGACCTTTTTATCTGCACCACAAACTCATATTATTAAGATCGCTTTGAAGAAGCTCAGCATCGATAATTGATATAATTGTTTTATATAATTTAAAATCACATGCAAAGGCACGATGTTCAGAATATAGAATCACATTACTTAGATTTTTTGTGAACAAATTAAAGAAAACTGGACCTATGTGTGAACCCTGAGGGACACCTTAGTCCACCACAATTTCTCAATACAATATGATTGGGCCCTGCTGTGTACGCCCTGTTTAAAAGTCTCGTGGCTTGAAACTTACGAAAAATATGCTCATGACTGACTCTGTCAAATGTCTTTGAAAAGTCCAAATGTTATTAATTTTCACTTAATGAATACCCATTTACCATGCTAAAGAATTTTAGCACTTTATATACAATATTTACCGGCTACCTACTTATCATGTGGATTGCATTAGAAGATTTACAATTGACTTTCTTTTTTAACATTTTATTTTCAAAATGCCTATAAGAAACTAATATCTACTAAACATTAGTCCTCGTGAGTGAGCGAATCCAAAATAGTCATTTTCGTAACCAAGGAGAGTTCGCAATAGAAATGAACAAATTACAAAAAGAATGCAGCCTTTAATTTTTTCACGGAAAATACATCCCACGACACTATAAACGACCGAGCATTTTCCGTCAATCGTCTGATTCTAGAACGCTTACGGTCCGTTTTATCCAATCGACGTACTCAGGGACAAAAGTGGCTACAGAGGGCGCCACGCCGCAACTCCCAAATCCGTACGAAATTATACCGAACAAGTTGGTGATTCGGTCACCAAACTGCGAAACTACGTCCATCATGACGGGTCCGCCTGAATCGCCGTTGCAACTGTCGATTCCGTTTCCGCTTCCCAAACACATCTGGCCTTCGGTCAGAGGTTGAGGATTGAATTCGTTGCAGACTTCTCTGGCCACGTACGGCAGAGTAGCTTTCTTTTTAACCGGGCTCAGTTCACCTGCTACAAAAAGCAAGCCCGTATTTTAAATTAAAAATCAATATAAATACCAAAAAAATATAAATATATAAGTTGGGGCTAAGAATAGTGTGGGGAATGGAGCGTCGACATTTGCTGCTAATTATCTTGTTACTAGAATTTGATGTTCACCAGTGGATATTCAACTTAACGGCGACGTTTTGTTTTTCTACTCCCTTCCGCAAAACACCTAATTAGGCACCGGTCTAGCATGCGAAGAGTATCATTTTACTGCGTCAATATATTACCTGGTGGCTTGAATTTTGAAATCTGTCAATTCTGACGGTCATGTTTTTGTTATTTTTAATTTAATTGAAATTGTGCATGTAAACCTAGAAGTCAAATATGCTGTTTGGTAAAAACTAAATGAAAGCCTATGTAATATATACATTAGTAAGCAATTTTTAAAATGATTTGGGTGGATTCTAGCGCTTTCACATGTTGAATGCAGCTTCTCATTTTTTTTTTACATAGTTGCTTCACCAGTTCCTGTACTATCAGCATAGAGAGGGTTTCTATATATCCAATTTCAAACAGCCTGAACTAACTAGATATGGTGAAACATGAGTTGTACATCCAACTCTACATATCAGTCTAAGTCTAAGTTATTTTAGTATCATGTGAAAGACAATGACGGCTTCCATAAATTATTTTAGATTATTATGTGGAATCTTTAATTTGATTGTAACGTGCGCTCTATATTTTAGCGGAGAATCTAGAGTAAGTCATCGTAAACTTTTACAACTTACAAAAAGCCAAAATAGATAATTTTATGTTGCATTTAATTGCAAATTCCAACTATTATCTCTGCCGATTTATTAGGATTAAGTACGAGCATATATTGAGTGACAGAATCGTCAAACCTATTCAATTCAGAATTCTTACTGTTACTTTTTTTCGTTAAGGCACTTCTCAGAAAAATAAAAATACATTTGAGTGTTATCGGCAGAAATATGATAATCACAAAACCATAATGATGTTCTAAAAATGCATGCCAAAATCGCAAACAGAAGTGGACCTAAAATACTACCCTGGGGTACTTCCTCGTTAACAGCCAAAGAGGTTGATTCGTTAAGTTGCGTCCTCTCATTTAAAAAGGACGATAAGAATTTACAAGACAATTCACTCAATCCTATGTGATGAAGAATTGAACTAAATATTTCTTGATTTATTATATCAAGTAGAACCAAAGTAGAAATTTTGTTATCATCATAAGCCTTAAAAATATGATCTATTACATCTGCAAGAGCGCTTTCACTACTATCTTAGAGAGTGTTGGCAAAATACCAGTAGAACCCAATTAATGTAGGTTCTTTTTATTATTGCAGCCAGGGGTTTCTTCTATAGTACAGGAGAATATGAGCACAAAATATATTCATTAATTATGTGGACAACATGCTGTGCAATTGTGGAGCAACAAAGTTGCACTAAAGTGATATTAATACTGTCGCTTCCCGTAGCCTTAGTCGTCATATTGTTAATTATGTTAAGTACTTCAACGTCGTGAGTTAAACTGTCCATCAATTGCATCAAAACCCTATTTTTTTATAAAAGCTAAGAAGTTCTAGGTTGGGCAAGTTGTACGACGTAGTGGAGTTTACCTTTTATAATATTGCCAAGCTAATTACCAGCCAACCACCAAATATTTAAAACTCACATCACTTGATTTAAATTCCCAAAGCCAATGACAATATGAATGTCCCCTGAAAGTCTCTACTAGAGCAAAATTTAAATATTCCTTAATAATTCGTAAGAAAACGATTCGTTAATTACTCTTCAGTTAACAGCGCCAGACATCTAACAACTGACGTCAAGGCATTGATCGCTAGACGAGCGCTATTACCGTTGTGTTTTCGAAAAGGGAGTTGTCCTTCCATAACAAGTACGTAAGAAAAATCATTGCGTTTTTATTACGTAAGCTATAGGATAATTAACGGGTTTTATTATAATATCTACCTGGATCCGTTCGCCCCCAGCCCGCGATAATCATTGGTTCGTTTCCTTTCAGATACGCGCTTACATTTCCTTCGGGCAAACAAATGGGGCTGATATAATCTGAAAATAATAGACAATGTTTTAATCTATTTTATAGAGTCACGAAATCGGGAACAAGGGCGATAACTGGTGGTTTCACTACCCGAAACTTTGTCCTTTATTGTTATCTTACCCGTAAACGTTACGTTTCGATCGAGCTTCACGAGAGCTATGTCGTTGTCGGTGCCGTGATAAGAGTCGTGTTTTACGACTTTCGATGGGGCGAAGTACTGAGGCTTATCCGCGCAGTCGGTACCGTACTTGAAGTGGAAGCAGTCCGTTTCGTTCCGGATGTCGTACTCCCCAAGTACCACGCGATGTCTGAAACGATTCTGTTAGAGCACCAGGTTTCTCGCCCAGTGGTGATAGTTTTCGAATAAAAAATATTTGAATATTTGTGAAATGGAAATGTAAAGGGTTATACAGAATTACCAAACCATTTTAATGTATATTTGAGGAAAACTTCAGTGTCGAGTGGAGCGGACAGCTTACTTATTTACTTAGGACTCCCACTACAACCTAACTTGCTAGAGAAATGTAGAATAGGAAGAAAAATTTGACCTGGTTCAGGAATCTGCGATATTCGAATTTGTTTATGCCGCTCAAAATCAAGACAGATCCAGAAATATAAATACGCAAAGAAGGTCTAGAAGTGTGAAAATGAGAAAAAAAAAGAGAAAAAATGAGAAAATTTTCAAGGACAAGTTGAAGTGGTGTGAAAAGGGCAATAAATAATTAATAACAGCAGACTGCAATTATGTGGCTTTTTATCCAATCAAACTTTCCTGCAATTTGAAGAAATAAATTATTTGTTAATCGTGATTTTGATGTTTTTTTGCCAATCAAAAAATGGGTCAATCTATTTACTTAGTCCCATTCGGTCTTATCCACTCTTCTGTGCTGGCCGCCCTGTGCATCCATCTGGAGTAGAATGCTTCCTTTGTTTCCCCAAGGTCTGCAGTTTATAATATTTTTCTTCCATCCATTTTGATATCGCTAACGTTTCTTACTTTTGTTTCTTACCAATTCGTTTTTTCTATCTATTAGTTTTACAACTAACACTCACCTTTGTGCTTTCGCTACTTTACCCATGTTTGACTTTGTAAATAAATATTTGGGATCCGCAGATGGCAACAGACAGTACATATACTTTTGGTTTTTAGATGTTGTGGACATGTTTTTATTTAGTACGAAGTTCAAATCGCCAACTGTTGCGAATGCCAATCTAATTCGCCTTTTGATTTCTGTTGTTTGGTTTTGGTTATTAAGTTTAACAATTTGTGGCAGATTTTGTGATCTCTCTTCAGTTAATACGAGAATCGATCCAGATAACTCTAAATCAACATATAGAGTGAACGGCTAATGGAACATTTTCATTGGAAAATCAGTAACTAAAAAAAATATAGAATGGGTCAAAAGTAGATTTCGATACCACCTTCTTTTTTAGCACCAATCAGACAGATTTCTTGTTAACAACATGATACTCCACCACAGTTTGCTCGACAAACGCGTGAACACAGTGAATTGGTAAAAGGGGATCAATAGAATAACCTGCAAGATCTTCACATATTACTCCACATATTTCTTTCATTCAATACATTGTAATCTCCCTTAATAAATACACTATTATTATTATTATTATCATTCTTATTCTTCTTATTTTTATTATCATTATTATATTTTAGCCGTTCACTACAAGGAGACGCAATATCGTCTAGAGTTTTGAACCTCCTTTATATAATGTTTGTAAAAAACCAGACTACGACGAAGAAGGTATAAAAACGTATGGAACAACCCAAGATAAGCTGATGATGTCGCCTTGATAATTGATGACAAAGAGGAACTACCAGAAATGCGGAAAGAATTGGGCACAGTGGCTTAAAATAAATTCATATAAACAAAGTCAAAACTAAAACGTTTTGCCAGATTTTTTTTAACATCATCCTTCATCATTTTCATCTCTATCCTTTTACTTGTCGCAGCCCCTGATTATATGGTATTATTGTTTTTCTATGAACTTTCCGACAATCATATTGCTAAAGTTTTTCTCCTCATTTTCCACTTGGTCCATTCCATTCAGATTCACTTACATTTTATTGAGTCCTCGTGACTTCAAAATGGCATCTTCGACGCAATGGGCGGCCGTTACGACGATCCTGTTGGTAATCAAATTGCCGGCGCAGCCGTACACTAAGCCATGCCTGCTCTGGTACTGAAAAAGTGCCATCCAAGGAAACTCAGCCAGGTCTGTGGCTGTTCCACCGTAAATCCTGTTGTCGGCCGCACCTTGCTTGCCGCAAATTTTGGAAAAAGGTTTCAGTGAATCAGCGTATAGTCGCAGCTCGGGTTCTACCGGAAACGAAAGGTTTCCCTTAGGACAGCACACCCGTATCTCTGCTGTCCGTCTCCTGCCCTTAACGCACTTGAAGTTGCGAATATATTTTTTCTGGGAGTCGTCGTCCTTATCCATGGTCTTCAAGAGGTTTACCATGGGTGAGCAGTCGCGAATATTCTTACACACACCTGCAGAAGTTGAATTTGATTAATAACAGCTTGTACATTTGCATTTTGAAATATGCAGAGCGCTATAGATTTGCAAATAGATGGAATCGAATTGCCTATTTAAAGAGCACTACGTACAGTAAGAAATTACTCAATGCATACCTGGCTCATCGTCAGGTGTTTTACAAACCAACTCCTCCTGGATGACTTCGCCTGAAGTGTCATCAGTGATATCAGGAGAACCTGTTGAAGTAGCACGTATTGTGTCATGATGGAATTCATCTTCCCAACTATTAGACCCGCTGTTATCCCAATCGAACCAACCATGTCGTTCGTATGAATGCGCGTGTGGGTATTCCGCGTGATGACGTCGATGCCACTCGCTGGCATGGCGTCTATTTTGATCAGACTCTTCGTTGTGACGGCTAAGTTTAAAGTCTTCTTCACTGGAATCGTCAAATCTGGTCCTCATTACCGTCTCGGGTAAAGGGCAACACACTTGTATTTCTTTCTCCTTCGACGATTCGCAACCGAACTTTTTTAAATAATTGCTCACGCTGCGGTTATTTAAGTGTTGTGTTTTAAGGAGGTCTACATACTTTGGACATTTCTTGTAGTACATGCAGCTTCCTGCAAAAAATGATCTTGGTAAATGATGGATAGCGATTGCAGCAATGAGGTAAACTTACTCACCAACTTCATTGTCCGGAGTGCGACAGTGTGTCGATTGGATGCACCAAATTTTCAATCGATTTTGGTCATCGTATCCGCATCTGGCCCGATCAATGAATTCAATTGTCTCTCTGGTCAATCCCTGTTTGAGAAACTTGTCTGCGAAAGGACACCTGTCTGTTGGAACGCATTCGGTCTTCAAGCACGATGCGTCTTTTTTCAGGCCTGCAATAAAAGGAATTACGTTCCCTACTTTTATTTCGTCAACCGAGACAATATATACAAGGCGTTTAAGTTTGGTTGTCGAAACGCTAGTTGTTTTTCGATATGAGAAATACGATTAAATTTATAGAAAACAATAGAATAGTAGATGTTAATGAAGTTTTTTGATATGAAAAAAATTAAAATATTTTATTTTGATATGATAAATAAAATTAAATATATGGAGAACAAAATCCTAGTGAATGAGGAGTTGGAAAATTGCAAAACTCTTTTTTTTTAATACTGGTAACTTTTGGAGCTCATTTGCGATATGAAAAGCATAAAAACCTTGGCTTTTGGATATAAGAAACACGCTTAAACCTAGGAAAAAACACTATCCAAATAAATAAGGAGTTGGAGAATTGCAAAACTGTTTTTTTTAATACTGGTGATTTCAACAGCTCATTTTTCGATATGATAAAGCATAAAAACCTTGGCTTTTGGATATGATAAATACGATTCAATCTATAGAAAACAATATTTAAGTAAATAAGGAGTTGAAGAATTTCAAAAACTGATTTCTTCAATACTGATTCAGGATGCTCATTTTCGAGATGAAAAGGGACCTTCGCTTACGGTAATAAATGTTAATGAAGTTTTTTTTATATGAAAATGATGAAAACATTTGATTTTAGGTATGAAAAGTATATTTAAATATATAGACAACAACATCGTAGTAAATGAGGAGTTTGAAAATTGCAAAACTCATTTTTTTAATACTGGTGATTTCGGGAGCCGATTTTCGATATGAAAAACCATGGCTTCTGGATATGATAAATACGGTTCAATCTACAGAAAACAATATCTAAGTATGTAAATATTTGGGTAATTACAACACTTGTTATTTTTTCAATACTGATGACTTCGGGATGCTCATTTTCGTTTTGGACATGAGAAATACGATTAAATCTATCTAAAACAATATGAGGAGTTGGAAAATTGGAAAACTGATTTTTTAAATACTGACGACTTTCGGATGCTCATTTTCGATATGAAAAGAATAAAAACCTTCGTTTTGGATATAAGAAATACGACTAAATATATAGAAAACAATACAGAAGCAGATGAGGAGTTGGAGAATTGCAAACTAATTTTTTTAATACTGATGACTTCAGGATGGTCATGTTGAACATGAAAAGAACAAAAACTTTGGATATGAGAAATACAATTAAATCTATATAAAACAATATCGAAGTAAATGCATTTAAATGGAGAATTGCAAAAGTTGATTTTTTCAATATTGATGAAAGAATAAAAACCTTTGCCTTTGGATATGTGAAATACGATTAAATCTATGGAAAGCAATATCGAAATAAATAAGGAGTTTTTAATACTCATGACTGCAGGATGCTCATTTTCGATATGAAAAGAATAAAATCTTTGGGTTTGGATATAAGAAATACCATTAAATCTATATAAAACAATGCAGATGTGCTTACGTAAGTTGTAGTTTTAATTTTTTTATTTCTTAAAGTCACAAATCCAAGATTTCCCTTATGAATATATGTTTACAAAACATGGTTTTGAATTACATATTTGGTTTATTTTAGCTGCATTAAAGAACACTAGTTTACATTTAAACCTCCGAAAAATCCTCCGCGTTCGTTGCAAAGATGTCAGACGCAACTCCCACCCCTTTGTTTAGTTCTACCGGTCAAGGTTCAGCAATAATGTTTAGCATTGGTAGGTGAACATTTTTACTCACCTGCAGTTAATAAGACGCACACAACTGCCAATCGAAACGCACCGTTATTCATATTGCACCGCCGGTATGCAAATAACCGTTGCTAAATTTCTTAAATATATTTGATAATAAAATCGCCAATCTCATGGCGTCATCGCTTCTGCGAGAAGATGCTGTAGTTTCCGATACGCGGATAATAAAAGAATTGGCCGTGTAGCGCCGGAGTGAAAGGGAAAATACCGAGTAATTTTTCCAATACGCGCGTCGAAAATAATTTTATTAGTCACAAGCGATTTGAACAAACGTTTTATGCTAATATCTTGCGCGTACGAGATTAATTTCACTGCGGAAATCGTTTCGGTTTAGGAAATGACGCACACAGGGTGAACAGACGTCAAGAGAACGCCGGCGACGTCACTTTTTTTTGTTCGCCACCGAATCGTGTGGATAGCCGCACCACAACTGGTCATTTTATTTCCTTTTGAATTGGAAACGACACAAAGCACAATAAGTCGTTAAAATAATCGATAACACATGCATGGAAGATGTATTCAAATCTACGCAGTGGAGTTTTGAGTTGGATTAAGTTAATTGACTAGAAGTTATCTGAATGAATCAAAATCAATTTTATCTCTAATGAAATTAAAGTTGGCGATGGAGTTTTTTATATTTTTATATAAATAATATACCAAAATCATGTATATCTGTGGTCTTAGAAAAATGGCTTCCAAGAAAAGAGTTTGTCCATATTTTTCACTATAGTATATAATGCACAACGAAAGATGTATCTTTATTACAAGGTTCTGTTTTGTTCGTAGTCTCTACAATTAAGGTATTATCCGCAATTTACTATTTAGGAATGATATTACTAATAGTGTTTGAAGTAGATTGAAAAACTTTCATTTGTTATTAGAAATAGTTATGATCTGCTTCCAGATTGGTTTTGGAATTTCATAGAATTCCCTTATAGATGTAGAGTATTCTTAAGTAGTCTGACTGATCTCCTTGACATGGTTACCTTCTGTAAGATCATCAATGGGCTTCTTTAGTGCATCGCAATATGACAAAATGTCGACAGCATGGTCGTAGTCCTTCATGTTGTTTCATACATGTATTGTCGATCTTTTTGTTGGAAGTCTCCGTGCTTTTAAAAAATATGTTTATGTTTTGAATGGTTATTTTTAACAGACCTTCAGTTGTATACTTTGGTTTGTTAAAAGTTATACCACTTATATACTTATTATTATTGAACTACTTTATGTAATAAAAATACAGTATTCTAAGTACACTTTACACAATATTTTCTGGAAATGGAAATGGAAATCAGCGGATGTGAGAAAAGTGGCTTGAGCATTAAAAAATTGGCGGAAAAATTTAATGTGCCGAAGATTCAAGTCCTCGTCCTTTTTTTGTATCAATATGGTTTCACAAAACAACGAAGAAGTTAAAATTTCTGCCGAGAAGGTAGCAATGTGATCATAAAAAGAAAGTTCCCTAAGGTATAATTATTTAAATATATTTTTGGTAAGTTGTAATTGAAATTATGAATAAATATATAATGTAAAATACCAGCGCTTCCTTTATTTTCTCTCCCTTCGTAAGCCACCAATACTTGATCCCCAAGGGCGGTCCCTATTGAGGGATTTTTAAGTAAATATATTTTTCAACAAAATTAAATGGTACGCGATTTCCTGTTAACGAATTAAGATTTAAGAATTTTCCAACAATTTATTGTCCATTTCCATTACTAATTATTATTATTATATCTCAATAATAATATCTCAGATAATAAAATTTGCAAGCATAATTTGGTGCATTTACTGTTATTAATTAGTGTTAGCTATTAAAAATTAAGAATTTATTTATTAATGTTGTTCATATTTCTCTAAACCTAGTGGTGAATGGCAACTTCTTTTAGGTAATTGAAATATGCTCCATAAAACTTTTACAACATCTAATTTTAAAATATTTATAAAATTTCATTTCATTCCACTTCATTTATCAGCATGTTATAAACAGAAGATGTATACAAGCATATATATGTATGTATACCTGGTAATAAAAAATAAAATAATTTTATAACATAATATTGAGAATATAGAATATATATGAAACATAAAATTTAATACATAAAACATAAAGCGCTCTGTGGGCATCTAGACATACTTTAAAGCGGGGAGTCGAAGAGTTGCAATCACCTGACTAGATATAATTATTAATATCTTGAAAAAAGATAAACTCCTCCAAGCTGTCAAAGGAGTGCTTTATTAAAAAATCTTTGACTAAGTTTTTGAACCTGTTTATTGGGAGTTGTTTTGTCTCGGGCTCAAGTTTATCAGAAAAATGGACGCAGTAGCAATTTGCCTCCTCGCATTAAGACGGAAGAAATCGGATCTGAATTTGTCCTGATTTCCTATTTTGATAACTCAGTAATCCCGCTCACTTTACTTTTCCATTTCAGTGTGTATCACCTTGTATTAAATAAATCGCAACCTCGACCTAAACGTGCGTGTTTAGACAGGTAGAAATACGCAAATGCATTTCAATAGACAAACAATATTGCGGTTTCCGATCAAAATAAACGTCTCAATTCCCACAGCTATTAGGGAAATATCCCACATTCCATGGTCAACGCGATATTCTACTAGGCTTTTATTTTACACCCGTCCGGTCTCCCTCCCGCGTTTTCGAAACTCACCCACCCTCCAAAAAATAATTGCATTACTCGACACTGCAAACCCCAAAAAGCGGTTGTGCGTTTCGCTGACGCATCCAGATTACCGTACCTATTGATCGGATGCAGCAGCGGGAGCAGCTTTGCTGCCTCGTGCCGAATTTAGGGGTGGAAATTCGATGCAAAACGCTCTGCAGCGGCCCACGTTTCCCCAGCTCATGGTCAAGGTCACGGTTATTGATTCGCGCCAGGCGCCGGCAGCCGGAGTTTTTCGGCAACATTTTCTGAACATTTGAATAATAAATTGGTCGAATTTGCTCGGGGGATGTGCATCCTAGTTGCGAGCCCGTTTCGGACATTTCGGCGAAGCAAAATGGCTAATGTATTCGGTCCAACGAGTAGTTCTTGGTCAAGGGCAAGGTTATTGATTGCCGAGAAGATGTGGCAACGCAGGAGCGTCGAGCGACGTCCTACGGGATGCTCTAGAGATAATCGCACTGATATAGTTGAACATTGATCGCACTTAACACACTTACCCAACACTGCTATTGATATTGCGAAATTTTAATATAGTTTACTTTGGACGAAAGGATGAGGACGTGTCTTCCCAATGAACGAAAAACAAAAATATTGTGAACAATAATTAGGTCTCTGATTGAGTTATGAACAATTTCAACAAGTTTACTTGAAGAAATAAAAAGAAGAATGAATTTATAATTCGGTCATTCAGAGATCAAAATTTATAAGAATTATGGTGTACCCAAAGCTACGAAAGACCAAAATATCAGTAATAAAAATTACATCACATTTACCTGGAAATTTTTCTAATCTGCTCGTCGAATAGTTTTTGAAAATAATTGATTTTAAAATCTTTAAAGTTGCTTAAAATTTTAATGTCAGTTGGTCAATTATTTAACCATGGAGCAATCATATGTATATGAAAAAAATCGTTTGCATCAGTTGCATGGAATGACTGAGTAAGCATTCCCTTAAATCGTATGTTAAGGTTATGTAGATCACTTATTTTTTTCTCTTATTCATTTACTATTCTACTTTTTTGAATATATAACTGCAGATTGAAGAAATTTATTTGTCATATTCATCTTCATATCTTAAGTGCTTCAGCTATTCCAAATCAATTAAAAATTATTAAAATTAAGTTACAAAAAATCTGTGTTAACCCTCTTTTCGAAAAAGTAACAACATTGAGTGCTTGGTATACATAATGGCTATTTTTAAATGTGATTCTATAATTCTATAAAACAATTAAAATTACAGAGAACAATATGAGAAGTTGGATTATTGCAAAACTGATTTTTTTAACACTGCTGAGTTTAGGATAAGCATAGCATAACACTGAGTGCTAGGTATAAATTACGACGATTTTTTAATGGGCTTCTATGGGTAACTTTTAAACCGTTGAAGATTCTTTTGTTGTATTTTTCAAGCATATTGAATTCGAATTTTATAAAAAAAAAACTCAAAAGTTTGAGATAAAGATAAATGGCATCTCTTTTCAGTTTGATGGTGCTCTTGCTTACAATGGGCGTATAATTGTATTATGGGCTCTCTTTAAAATTGAGGTCTGCATATTAAGGTATTAAGGTTGTCTGGATATCTATTTTCACGCTTATTTATTTTTATTTTATTATTTATTAAAGCAATAACTAAAGTTATGGGATACGAATGAAAATGTTTATTATTTTTAAAGAAAAAGAGTTTCGCAGTTTTCGGGACAGTGAAAATAAAGATGCTATGGATAAAATTTTCAGATGCCATTTCACTTTAGAAAACTCATCTATCCTCGTGTGTCTAAAAGAAAAATCAATTTACTAAAGCACACGTTAGATTTATTACTTAAAAACAATAAATATGCTTAAAAAATAATCTACGCCACTGAAATCTGCAAAAAATATATAACAATGTTTCTATACTTTTTCGATACGTTAAAAAAATAGTTGAAATAGGAGCGGGTCTCAAATTAAAAATTTTCGAAATCAAATTTAAAAAGGGAGCCACGAAAATTTGACTCATAGGAGAATGTAACATACTGTCGCGAAATCCACAACTCCGTATCTTCAAAAAACAATCAGATAAAAGTGCCAGACGCCTGTCATATTAGGGAAAAGTTCGTGTTAAAATTTTGGAGGCGATATGTTGGGTGAACATCTAGAGGTGTACGCGTGTAGAGAATACTTTGTCGCCATAAAATAAAGCAATTTATTTCTTCCGAATCGGCTAAAACAATAACAAACGACGCTGCTGATGTGGCAGTCTCAATCGACTCCAAACGTCGACAACAATTTCAGATTTGCGTTTCCCCTTCTATCGATCTCGGTGTAAATAGAATTCATGTTGTGCACTCTCTCCGACTGTCGTGTGACAGCTTCCACTTCTCTTCCGACCCCCTTCTTACCATCGATCCCACCAAAGATGTCGGAAATATAGGGACCCCCTCCTTTGTTGACCATTTGACTAGCGTTCCGAAATTTTTCGAAAATGCAATACTTCCTCGCGTCCTCCGGTCTGATCGCTTTGTTCTGCTTCAACGAAAAGTACACGAGTTCCACAATCCCGTGACTTTTCAGCAGGTGTTCTCTTTCGGCCAGACCTCTGAGCCTCTCCTTTTCCTCTGATTCGATTATCGGCTGAGGTTCGAAAGAGTTTCTGGCTTCGGAGCTTTTGATGGTCAACAACGGTTTGCGAGTTTTGGAAAGACCTTGGCTGGGCGGTCGCGATTGCTTCGGTATCGGAGAAATACGTTTGGCAGCTTCCAATCTAGCTTTCAGCTGCATCTCGTCCCTCAGAGCGTTTTGCGCGGCTTCCCTGGCCCTGCTCGAGGCTGTGTCGCAGTACAAAGTATTCAGATTCTGCTCGAAGAATCTCCCGTACACGCTGGAACTATTGTGTAGCGGGTAGACTAACCTAAATCGCCCTCTGGCAGCCATTTCGTTTTTGAAATGCTGGTCGAAGCATTTGACCTCAACACACGGAACCTGGTGATCTTTGTGGCCGTGTATCAGCCTCTCTCTGATGCGTTTCCTATCCTCGCGCATGACTCTCCTTTTGTCGCATTTATCTAAGTTCAGCATGGCGAACATGTCACTCAGCAAAGCTTCCTTCACCTCGCAGTCGAGTTGGGTATCCGTATGGAAACTGGGCGAGTGGTTCACCTCGAGGACCTGAGGGTTCATCCGCTTGTCGAATATGATATCGACACCTAGCAGCTCGCAACACGCAGGCACGACGTCGTGGTTGGGAAAACATGCGGCGTAGCTGTGCTTCAAAACCGGGTAAGCGCTCACTATGGTTTTTACTATGACGTCGTCCATACGGCACCAAATAGCGTCGACGTCGTAGTTCAAGCCGAGCAAATGGTTCTTCAGCCACGATAGTTTTCTCTTACTTCCCGCCCCATCCAGGTCTTGGTTGTACATTCGGCTATGCTTGTTCACCGCGTAGTTCGTCAGGTGCATGAACACGTTGGTGAAGTTGACCCCATTCGGTTCCTTATATTTGGCCGTGGCGAACCTGACCAGACCTTCGTCGTAGACGTAAATCCTCAGCGGATCGCAGCTGGTAATCAACGCGTAAACCCTCAGATCGAACTTGTAGCCATCGATTAGAAACGGCCGCGCTATGTATACCTGGCAGATGCCCTTATCGCATGGTCGCACGTCTTTCAAAGACTTCGTGATGACGATCCCACGACCTTGACTGCCAGCGTCCGGCTTCAAAATGAACGTCTTGTTCCGTCGCAACCTGCTGTACGCCATCGCGTCACCCAGGTCGGCGGGCAGACACCACGTCTTCGGGAAAAAGTTGTAGTCTCTCGGAAACAACCTGTTCATCCTGTTCAAGTTCCTCGCGAGCAAATCTTTGCGGCAAATCTCGAGCATTCCGGGGAAATGGTTGATTTTCTGGAAACGTTTCATCTCCTTGCACCGTTCCACCGTGATCGACAGATCTGTCCAGTACATGTTCCAATTTTCCCCCTCGCTGGCTTCCTTAAAGTTAAACCGCTGCACCATCTTCCTGATTACGTCGTATCTGCAGTGCGTCAGACAAATCGAGACCCCTTTTCCCTTTTTCTCCGACGGCGGACAGTGCCTTTTCTTTTCCGGAACGTCGGAAAGTTTATTGGTGGCGTTTTTGGCGATGGGCCGATTGTTTTCGTAATCTGAGGACCAAATCGAGCTGTCGCTGTTTTCGTTCGGGGCTACGCTAGTCGTGGAATCGCTCGCCATGAAAATGGTGCTTAATTATTGTTCCAGTACATTTTAAAAATTTGCGGTTGTCACTCGGAATGTCAGCTTAATTACGTTAATGTCGTTCAGTGTCGTCAGATAATTTAACAGGAAAGAAACGATCTCTGGGACGGCAAAATAATCAACTTTGAATATTGGAGTTTGATGGTGTGTCATTATTTTATTTGCGAAATGGTTCATTACAGGGATTTAGCTGTTAGAGAGAGGTACTTTGTAGGTAAAATCCGAAATATGAGACGAGAAATCAGTGACGTCATTAGTTCTTAATCATTGTTTGTCTCTCCTAGGCCCTGTTGCAGTTTCTACTCCTACAGGGGTTGAGAGGGGAGGTGGGTAAATCATTTTCTCGCCACCAAGTTTCAAACTATGTATATGTATAGAAGCTAGAACTGTATTATATATATAAATTATTATTATAATGTACATCGGTAGGTGACGAAATGTATATAACCATCGTGATTAAATTTATAACAAAACTGGTTTGCGATGATTTAGTTTGCGAAATGCTTCATTACGGGGTTACAACTGTAGATAAAGTGCGAATTATTAGACGAGAAAACAGTGTCGTCGTTAGTTCTTAATCATTGTTTGTTTCTCTTAGGCCCTGTTGTAGTTTCTACTCTTTCAAGGGTTGGGAGGGGAGGTGGGTAAATTATTTTCTCGCTGAGAGCGAACACGTGACTGTACTTTGTTCGATCCGATCATAGCTGGTAGTTGTTGGCTCTACCAAGTTTCAAACTATGTATATGTATAGAAGCTAGAACTATATTATATGATTAAATTTTAATTTTTCAGGTCACAAAGGTTATTATTATAATGTACATCGGTAGGTGACGAAATGTATATAACCATGGTGATTAAATTTATATCAAAACTTTGAAAATGAAAGAAAACAGTGAGGTAGTCTCTGAGATATTGTCCTTGTCCTTGTTTCGTTTTTCTCTTTTAGTGAAAACATCTAACATAATATACGAACACTATTAATATTGCTGGCACACTATGTATGTCTTGAAATAGTGTAGAGCTTGTAATGAGTAATAAATCAATGGTTCAGCATCAATAATAATTATATAAATAATTGCATTTTTGTGTATTTCTGTATTGTTTAATTTTCATGAATAAAAATATGTCAAAAACTGCAATTATTATTAAATAACCAAGACTATGGAAAATGGTATTGGTTTTAAAATCAGGGAAGAATATCAGGAGGGGAGAATTTTTGGGAGGAGGAGTTGTTACGAGTTTATTTTTTTCGAATCGTAATCTCTCAGTTCTAATGTGCTTAGTTCCAAAGAATGCAGACGACTATTCAACATTTCAATATATTTATAAATTAGAATTATAATGCCTCGCCATTACATGAAATACACAACTTACAGCACCTTTCGAAATATAAAAGAAAAGGAATATTACAATATCTGCATTAACTCGTTTCCTTTCAGGAAAGAGTAACTTGGTCACTTGGTTAATCCGTTAGATTCCTAGTTTCTTTCAGTGATAGTATTTTCCAGATACTAGCCACACAATCGCAATATGGAGGAAACTCGCTGGTTCCTGCTAAAATATAACTATTAATTGGTAAGTTGTTCAGTGAATGCAACTTATAAATTTTTACTTTTTTTTCTGCAGTTTTGTCCTTTACTTTCGGGAATTGTTCAGAATGTTTTTTTCCGCTGGAGTTCCAAGTTGTCGTCTTTAACTGTTGAAATACTATATTCAAAACCACTGTACGACATTTGGAAGAATGTAACAACATACCTGGATTTACCCCGTTCTTATTCGCATCAAGATTGCGTTCTTAACAAATGGGATTCAGATAGAATTACATTTTTCTAGAATGCCTTTAGAAAAAAACAACACAGCCACGATATTTTATTATTTTACACGGAAGGAACATGACATTAATTTGGCAATGAGACTGCGCATATTTCGCATAGCAAGAGAATTATAGCGCAAAATTGACATGAAAGGGAGCAAAAGAATCGTCAAACCCTAGATTACTTCGCTATTACACACTATTTCGCAATTTTTGGAGTTTTTATGGCTAAAGTTTCTTTCGATTTCCTTGCATTTTGATTAACTTGGGTTAGTTGGAAATATCTATTTTGGTTTCTAGAATCGAAAATCAGGATGCTCGTTATTCAGTAGAGATCAGAAAAGTAGAAGGGAGCTTGTGGGGTTTTAAAATTAAATTTTGCCGTTTTCGCCATTTCCTCCCCAAGTATAAATCGGAAATCAATATAGTTTTGGTTTCCTTTTTGTGGTTATCGATATTTCCTCCGCAAGGGATTTAATAATCCTTCTGCTGTGTTGACAAAACCCAACCACTTTCATTGATCTACCAACGCAATTGTTCTTACTTCATGAACTCTCTAAGTGATAATTTTTGTAAGGTTTCTTTTTCTTCCCTTGTTCTTGCCTTACAGGACCTCTATGAGGTTTCGTCGTACAGTATCAAGTGGTATCGTTTCGGAATAGCTGAACTTAGGACGTGCAAATATTTGGAACCAATAAATTCCAAGCGAGCCACTTTAGATGGTTTCCTACCCTTATGTGGAAGCTGTGCGACAACTACCCGATTGTGATTGCTGATTTGTTTTGTTGGAACCAAAGTCACTGCAGCTAAGTACTGTTTTGACAATATAATGTTATTTATAGAATTTTTTTTGTTACGCATCCGGTATTTATAGCTAATACTACAAAAATGTATTTATTTTTATTCCTTTTTGTCACCCTGTATCGAAGTTATCAGATTTCTGTAGTTAAATTGGTTTCATGTTTTTTTTCCGTTTTCCAAATGTTCATCAAACTAGAGAAAAACCTATTTCGGTAAAAAATGTTTTTTTTTATAGGGTAAATTCTGATTTCTTTTTTTTTCTCTTTAACTAACTGAGATACTGAACATCTGAGAGCAACCATTGTCTTTTTTTTTCTTACCCCTCTTTTTTTACAAGATTTTCGTAACTCCATTATTTTTGCACAATTTTTTTCCACTAGGATTCGATATGTTTAAACCGCATACATTTTTTTAAATTGGAGTTGAATTTAGATTAATTTTCAATAATTGTTCTTACGTTTACGATCTATGTGAAAATTTGAAAAATGTTTCGGTTGCATATTGGAAATGTTGACCCTATGCGCAATATTCTCGCTTTAGTTGGTAGTGCATTATCTTGATGAAGAAAACATTATCTAAAAATCTAAAGAGAAATTCTATTAAAGGACCGTAAAGTTAGCGAAAATGAAGTTTAAGGAGTTTGAAAAGCCTGCCCCCACCTGATACGAAAAAGCAAACGTTCTCGCCTTGACTTTTCGGTTTGATTAAATTAAATAAAAATCGGTCAAGCCGATGAAGCAACGAGGGTCATTTCGAACAACGATAATTCGGTTTTCGTTAACAAAGCGGCCATTATTTACAGGTAGTTTAGCAACTTGACGCTATTAAAGATTCCGAAGGCAAAGTCAAGGCAGGTAGGGTTAACTGTTAACCGGCAGAGATAAACGTTTCATCGTCAGTGCAACAACGTCTGTACGTGTAAAAATCCGCGTGCGATAAAATGTCGTCCAAAATAGCACTCTTTGCCTACATATATGCCGCCGTTTGCAGCAGCGTGACATTAACAGGTAAGAAGACTCAATGTGGCTATTTTTTGCGTTGTTCTGACCGATAAATAATGAATTATTTACTATCCAAGAAACTTTAGATATAATTTCAATTGACTTAATATATCGTGACGTCACATGACAGTAAATAATGTTGATGAAGTTTACTCGGTGTCCATTGGGCTTTCACGAATTTAAAATGTGATAAAATAGCAGCTATTTTAAGGGAAAGCTCATAGAGAACTTTAATTAGTAATCATTTTAATAAGTAGAGCAACATCGCAAATTCCAGCCTCACACAATTTGCTTAAATACAGCATTTATCATCTTCTCAATGACAAGCCCATAAAAAAATAGAACATTTACTTACATTAACCTTGAACAATCATCTTAGAAGGAAACACTTAAGTGTGTGTCTTATAACTTCAATGAGGAAAAATATATTTTTCCTTCTTATTTAAGGAGTAAAGTGTGCCCTTTTGACGTGTCCTTATTGAAAGATATTTTTATTTTGAAAACACTTTTTAATTGCAACTTCTTAACAGAAATAAAATGGCTCATTTAAAATTTGAATTGAAACGATTTTAAAGACCGTCCGTCCATCATGACGGCCAGGGTGATAAATACGGACGTGATAATATATTTTTCCTATTTTAGATTCCTATTATGGTAACACTTAAAAATCTTATCTATTCGGTTTTTGGTTATACGGCCTTATTATGTTTAATAATATTCTTAACAAATATATAATAAATTAATTATATTAATATATTTTTATAAATATGATGGTCTAGTTTAAGCAGTCTTGGTTAGTACTATTTTATGTTCTTGCTGTACTCAAAAATAATATGTTTTAGATTTTCGGTAATACTAATATTCTTAATTAATATATATTAAATTAATTATATTAATTTATTATTATAATTATTAGGTTAAGTAGTAAATAAGTAGTTTTATGATCACCTATAGAACCTCATAAAAATTAGCTTTAGCTTTCTCAATTTTTAGAACTATAAAAGACAATTAAAAATCCCAATTTTTAAATTGACCGCATTACCGTAAATTAAAAAAATATTTAACGTAAAAACCTTTTTTATTTACATTCTTTGTGAGACTTAAAATAATTACAAACATTAATACAAAATAAAATCTAATCTAATAGAACTATTATACAATACCACCAAATAAGCGAAAAACTAAGATATTTATAAATAAAAAGATTATTTTTTAAGAAACTCTCGGTATTAAAGTAACTGGGCGCGAAAGTGCAAAATGATATAATAAAGGTCCCAATATTTTCACACAAAGAATCTGTCTGCTATAGCATCTTTTCGACAAGCCCTGTATATAATATACAGAAATTTGAATATTTGATTTACAATTTCCACGATTTTCAGAATATATTGGTAGCGCATTATCATAATGAAGAAAAAAGTATGTAAAATTCTTGTGAGACATACAATAATTACTAAGAGTTTCATTTATCTCACAATATTTCCAGAACTTGTCCATCTAATAGTCTATTAATTAAAAACAGTACGAAAGGCATGTTATAAACCATTCATTTTCAGAAAAGTGCCTGACGCCCAACTCGGCAGCCGGCAATTGCGTTATCCTGGAAAAGTGTCCGCTAATTTACAAGGACTCCAACGATTTCGTATCCCCAATGACCCTGGAGAGGTTGAATTACCTAATCGCTTCGCAATGCGGCTTCAAAGGGAATATTCCCAAAGTCTGCTGCCCGCTGGAGAAAACGGCACCGTTGAAACTGCTCCAGGCGTGAATTTGTAACGAAAAATTATTCGGCATATTTTTAAATACATTAGAATAGTAACCAAAAAAAAAAAAGACTTCTAAATTTCTTTTGCGTATCAACCGGACCCGCGTTCATTAATTCCTATTATTAGCGTACGAAACAAAAGAGCAGTTTTCATCCCCACAGATGGGGCGGAGCGTTAGGAAACATTTTATTTATTAAAAGCTTCGGACCCACTTCCTCGCATGGCAGGATTAGCAGCGAAAAGGCATAACCTAACAACAGAAGTGCTATTTACGATTTCCTCCATTTCTCCCTCCTATACATATTTTTAAAAGCTTATAAATCAAAATACCGCGATGGCTTCGGATTAACTCGCCATTATTCAAATTGGCCGGTGCACGCGGCCCTTATTGCAAAATAAAAAAAAAAGAGAGGAGCTTTTAAAACATCGCTAGTAATTAGCTGTCTCCGCTAAATGAGATTTACGATGTTTCGACGATTTTTCCTGATGATGGCGTGCGGTAATACGACCTGAGAATAATATTTCGGTGACATTTAAATGTATGGCGTTCGTGTACGTACGTCTCGTGTAGAAAAACAACCCCGATATTTTGGACTCTCCGAGGAATAAAGCAATCTAAATTTGAGGCCCAACGGTGCGGCTTTCCTTTCGCCCGAATATAGAGTTTCAGGTACGAAGGCCAGTTGAAAATATGGGCAATTAAGAGGGAAATTATTAAAGAGGATTGCGTGAAAATTCTGTAGGTTGATTCCAAGTCCTTTTTTGTTAATTATAGAGTAGGATTCGGTATTCAATAAAAGGAAGAAAGAAGAAGAAAAATTTTTGGTTTTACATTTTAAATGTTTCGGTTTATGTTTCTACAATTTCTTATTAGAACTTACGACTAACTAAAAACTCTAAATCAATTTCATTAATTTTGTATTAGTAATAGGAATAGGAAATTCGCGTATATTTAAATTTTGTATAAATAACGCAATTACAATATTAATATTTCGGAAAAAAATTTCAAAGCCACCTTAATATGACAAATGGCCAAGAAAGATCGAGATATGAAAATAAAAACTGGCTAGCGGGTGGGCAGTACAAATGATCCCTTTCAGTAAAGTACGGTTATAAAAGGGGTGACATTTTCATTTTAAAAAATAGTCTGCTCAATATTTTTTGCTTGAAATTGTATACGGCGAAAAGTTTTCGAAGATTCAGAGGCTAATACTGTGTGAAAATAGAAATAGAAATTTCCACTTATTAATATTACATATTTACGATAAAATACATGCGTTGCCATAGCAATTGATTAAAAATTAGTCGTGTGCAATTTCCATAAACGGCTTTACTTCGAAGACCAAAACTATCAGAATATTCAATGTTTCGATTATACGATTATGAAATGAGCAGCATTTTGGAAAATGGTTTCAAAATGTAATGTCATTAAAATAATGAAGGGTCGGGTTTTAAAGTAGAGAGTAAAGTTAAAAATTCAAATGTTTAAACGCATATATAAAACACGGTTATTATATATAGCGACATTTCCATTAAAAGAAAAAACAATAAAAAAGAATATTATCCAATAAGTGCGGTAAACGGGAGTTGAGTCATGACTTTATTTGGCACGAGCGGAGCGCAGCTGAGCGAGTGACTTAAAAAAAAATTCTATTCCCGTCTGTAAAATACCTAATTACACACCGATCTAGCGTGCGAGAAGCGTCACTTCTTAGTGTCAATTTCCCACGGATCGGAGCCACTTCGGATATTTCCTTTGCATTTTGACGATTGTGAATTCTGATGGTCATGTCAATGTTGTTTTGTGAAAATGTACCCAAAAACTAACCGTCGTAGAACAAGTACAGTATGCAAAACGTTCGGTAAACTTTTTAACTCACTCGTTTATTAAACACTCGCTCTGTTTACCAAACGTGTTACATACTAAACTTCTTCTAGGATCGTTAGTTTTTGGGAACATTTTCGCAAAACAACACGAATACATTCACCGACATACAGACAGACAGAATTGACAAATATCAACATTCAAGTCGTGCGGTAAAATTTTCGAAAATATCCGTTTGTCCCAAACCCGGTGCGGTAATATCCTGGAAATGTCCGAAGTGACTCAGATCGGTGTATAATTAGGTATTTTACAGAAGGGAGTAGAAAAACATTTTTTCTTTAATTTTTTTTAAACGTAGACATTATTACGCCAATTACATTATTTTAATTAAAATTTAAAATTGTTTACCGATTCAAATTCAAACAAAAAATTAGGGCGGAATTTTAAATACATAATTAAAGTGAAGAAAAAATCTTAATAATAATTTTTCAGATTCAAAGTAATTATATTTGCACCAATTGTTCTCTGACAAGGAACTAAAAATTGTCATTGCAGTTTTCCTGGTGTTCTTTCCTTAGTTTATACGCGCGATTCGATATGATTCGAACGATATTCGGCAATTAGTATAATTCGTCAATGTCCAACACTAGTAAATGTTGATGTAGATGTAGATGTAAAAGCTGACGATGTAAATCGAGAAATTCGAAATCGCGCGCGCGGTTTAATTAGTTGGGATTTAATGAACTCCCGCAAAGGCTCAAAACATCTCCACATATCCCCCGAAAGCTTTACACGAGCAGGACTGCGCGCAAAATACATCAAAGGTTGCCATAGCGTTTATTATAATACGGCAACCGGGTCCGAAACCAAGAAAATACGGTTGAACGGACTCACGCCGGACAATGCCCAAATAATTCGCCCTCTAACCAGTTTGATTTTTCAATGTGATACCTTACACACATAGTCCGGACTAAGTGGCGTAAAAAAAGATCGAGCTTCCTATATTTCCCTCTAGAGACGCCACGTTGAGTGTAATTCTAAAAACAACTTTAATTAATCATTTTAATCTAATGTAATTTATTAAAATCGCTGGATTACCTTATTGCAATACATTAATTACCATAAGTACAGTGTTTAACAATAATACTTATTAAACTTAAACCTTATGCATAGAAAATATGCTCACAATTTTTTATATCTGATTAGTTTGAAACGACTTAACAGAATTTAAGTGCCATATCAAAAAAGTTATTGCAACCATATTTTCTAACATGGATATTTATATAAAAAGATTCAAAGGATCGGTATGTTAAATCTCAAGAATTGAGGGCAACAAGTACTTTTTTATTTGTTTTTTTTTTAAAGAAAATTACTTATGTTACTAAACTGTTAAGTCTAAAAATGAATACCGACTTTAACAGACATCTTCTATTGTTAATCTTTGTTAGATTTGGTCTATCGACTATTATTGTTTAATGTATCTTACTGAAATTTCGATTTTGTAACGCCAATGTATAAATGAGGCATCCCAATATGAGGTTTCGAATGTTGGTATCGAATAAAATAAGAGTTTCAGAACTTACCTAAATGTAATTTATTAATACTGACTCTAACAGGCGTCTTCTATTGTTAATCTTTGTTAGATTTGATCTATCGACTATTATTGTTTTATCTATGTTACTGAAATTTCGATTTTGTAACCCAAATGTATATATGGGGTATTCCAATATAAGGTTTCGAATGTTGGTAATGAATAAAACTTTCATAACATACCCAAATGTAATTTATGGCAGTGCGTAGCCGGATAGTTTACAATATCTGCCAAATGGCCACCATGACTTCTCAAGCAGCACACAATTCTTTTGTTGATGTTTTTTAGGTGTGTCACCAATTCGCTTAGTTTCTTCTTTCAATTGTTGAATGGTTTGCGGTTTTTTTTGTAGGTTTTGCTTTTCACAAAGCCCCACAGAAAATAATCAAGCGGTGTTAAGTCACTTGACGTTGGTGGCCAATATACGTTTCCATTCCTGGAGATAAGCCTCCCTCTAAACTGTCTACGCAATAACTTTACTGTTTCGCATGCTGTATGACATGTCGCACCATCTTGTTGGAGCCACATCCATCATTTCATACCATAAAACAACATCAATCATCGTTTTCTATTTACTGTAACAACTTGTTCGTCTTCACCTTCAAAAAATTACGCACCAATGACATCCTCAGACCAAAAACTGCACCAAACTGTGACACGTTGAGCATGCGTGGAGATTTCGTGGATTTGTCTAGGATTTTCAGGGCCCAGATGTCACAATTTGGTTAATTAAGTAACCGAAATTTGCTTTCATCTGTAGGATCCAATTGGAAAATGACGTTACTTATGATTGGCTGACGTTAGCTCCTGTGTTAATTGAATTTTGTAAGGATGTAGACGCATTTTTTAAATACGTTTTAACGATGTAAATACGTTGTTCTACTGTATAGGGCTCCATTGCTAAAATCTTACTGAATGCCGCATTAAAATAAAAACCGAATAACATAAACAACATTTGAGTTAAGAAAAAGTAGCAAAAAGACACATTCGAAACCTCTTATTGGAATACCGAGTTCTATTAGTACCACCCAAATGTAAGCCTTTTTTTTTTTGAAGTATGGGGAAACAATATATAATTTAAATGTAGTAAACATTTTATATTATAGATATGTTCACGCTTAATGAAAGAAAATACTAAAACGAATCGGCGGGCCATGTAAATCAAAATTGCAGCTATTAGTTTAAATAAGTTTTCATTGCGTTATTAATTAAAACAATTATTTCTCTTTAGCAGCTTATAGTTACATAATGACCGCTCTATGTTATTAAAATTAACAGAAGAAAGCCAATTTGGTTCGGAGTGCTGATTGCTGGAAAGAGAGATATACTGCTTATGTTGTGCGTCAATTTTTCTGGTCCTGGGTTTGTAATACTTCCAATTTTGTATGTGTTGTAGTCATACACTCAGAGGAAAAAACGCTAACGATTTGATAGAAATTAAATATTATTTTGCTTCCTTGATGTTTTTTAATAAATCAAGAAGAGTCTATATGGTTGTGTGATATAATTTATTACTTACTCTGTACGTGCTTTGATATTGTTTTAGGGGGATACCATATTGGTGACAGGTAGAGACCGGAGTCGCGGTTAAGATTGTTAGGTTGCTTATAGATTTCTATAGACTCTTGGATTTTTCGATGGCAGAAGAATTGATTAAA